CTATGATTTGGCAGCACTGGGCTCACATGCCTATCTAGCAATTGTGAGGCTGAGCTGAGAATCTGCTGCCTGCACTGGAAACGCTTCGATCCAGTCATCGCTACCAGAGGTGTTCAACCTGCAGCCAAGGGCATTCCAACATAAAACTATAAACCTACTTAAAATATGAGATTACTTTCGGCTATTTTGGGGGCACAGAGAACCCAATTATGTGGTTCCTGAGTGTGAACGCTGCCAACCATGTCACGTTACAGTGTCAACAGTCTGGACACAGCTGTGCCCCAACTCCTCCGCTTTTTTTGTATTAGCAGTTTATAATTTGTATTTGTGATTCATGCTTAAGTTTCATTTCTTCTCTCTCTCCTCTTTCAATAGTTTTTAGATTATGCCAGGTCATTTTCTATAAATTCCTCTTGTATCTAGAATGCTTTTCCCAGCTACAGTCTCTTAGGCTGTACCAGTCCATCACTCAAGAGAAGCCAAGTCACTAACCTTTCTTACCCTCTCATACCACTGTTACCAAGTAGAATGGATAGCTCTTTTCTTTCAGAACAATTTTTTTTTTTTTTTTTTTTTTTGTCTTTTTGAGACAGGGTCTCCTTGTAGCCCCAGCTGGCCTGGAACTCACTATGTAGACCAGGCTGACCTTGAACTCACAGAGATCGGCCTGCCTCTGCTTCCCGAGTGCTGGGATTAAAAGCATGCACCACCATGCCTGGCTTTAAAACAAATTCTTGATGTATTTGATGTCCTCTTCCCCTTCCTGCCTTGACTGTAAAACCTCCTGAAGGACCTCTGTCATCTACTTAGTGTTTGGCATCCATGACACAATCGAGTATTTGATTTGTCAGTGAATGAATGGCTGGTGTTCTCTGGGAAGGACAAACAGAGCAAATTACATACCGAATGACTCAGTCTTTAGCCAAAGAAAGAAGAGAAAGTACACAAAACAGCCTCTCAGTGCGTAGCTCATTTTCCCTTTACACTTAGAGGAATTATTGTTTAATTGCAATTTCTAAAACACTGTTCATTTTGGATATTAATAACTAAATAGACACATTTTAAATGTAATATTCAGGACTAACAGTACTAACAGTTTATTTACCTAATATACTTTTTTTCTTAATTTAAATGGTGGCATTGTCTAGTATGCCCCGATGTTTTTATCATCACAAATAACTTTAACCATTTATGGCAATTAAGAAAATTGCACTTGGTACTTCTCAGACATTTCCTCTTAAATCACCACTTCTGCCAAAAACAAAGAAATCCCTCAAAAGATTTGGGTAACAAAATGTCTGGGAATGTGTGTGGCCTATGCTCAACAGGACATTCTATGTTTTCTTGTACAGGTCATGTTCTGGAAAATGGAATGTCTTTATTTTAAATAAAAACGCAACCATTCAGCACCGTAAGGTAGTTCCATGAAGAATATTTCAGTTTCTTTTGTATCTGTAGCTTTAAGCATATTTTTATGCTTCATGTTACAGTAAGTTTTGCTGGGAATTGTTTTATACATACTGCTAAATTTTTTAAAAAATATTCTAAGGGAAATTTTCTAATCTCAATTCACTGAAGACCTTTTAAAAAGAAGTCACTAAATTTTATTTTTAAAAATCAGTTATGGCAGCCTTTAAGGTGTAGGTATAGGGCTTGGGTTATAGCTCAGTGTTAGAGCACTTGTCTAGCATGCACAAGACCTTGGGTTTGATCCCTGGCACTGAAAACAGAACAAAACAAAAACAGTGATGACAAAGGCATAAACTGGCAGGTAGACCTATGTTTTCCTAATACTAGAAGTGAATTTCTATGCTTATAAAAACTTTTCTTTGCAAACCATGAAACTCACCATTTCTGAATATAAATTACTGAATCAAGAACTATCTTGTACTTTCCATTCTAATTTCTCTAATAATTTTCATTTAACCAGGAATGTATCTCAAGAAATCAAAAAGTGAAAGAAAACATCCATATACATACCAAGACAACATATCTTTTAATGGCTCAGCTGGACTCTAGGTTTATTTATACAGGTATATTTTCTTATCAACAATAATTCCATGGAAATTCACAACTCTGATGGACTCAGAATAAAGACACTGTCCATATCTACTTCAGAGACTAGTGTACTGACTTTGAAAAATATAGGATGACATGTGAAATAAGTCTCTGGAACTACATTAAAAAGAATACTTTCGGATGAACTGTTCAAAGAACACTTTCTAAGGAAGGATAGCAGTAATCCTACCAGTCAATCTTAGGATTTTTTTTCTTGGGTGGGAATGGGGAGTGAGTTAGTTTAGCTAGTTCTTACGGTTTTAAATAGCTCCCACACTTTCTAGGTGAAATATATTGGCTCCTCAATAGAATGCCCCTGCCCCTCAATGGTGTTCTAGAGGAGCTAAATATGGAGTCTTAAGGCTACTGATGTGTGCCTCTGTCTTAAATTATGAAATTATAATGCATGTTACATGCTATTTCCTTGGCTCCTTGAAAAGGGGATCATCAAGTATTCTATATTGCATCTGACATGAAACCAAGCAATTGGTTTTCATTAGACATTTAATGACCAGTAAGGCATCTATCTTCATGCTTCTCACAAGGCCTGTAAATACCCTCAATTCATAACCACAGTTGCACATACCCAACATTAACAATCACGCTTGCTAAGAGGGACTGACGTCATCCACACTCTACGGCTTTAATACTGAAGTTATATGCAACTAGTCTTTCCTTATGCTTGACCAGACTGAATCATATCTTGGTAGCAGTGATATAATCAACCATTCTGAACAAAATATCACTTCTTTAAGTAAATTTCCTAATATTGTTTAAATGTTGAAACAATATATCGACTAATCATTAGTCTACAGATGCGTAGAAAAAAAACAATACATTGCCTTTACAATTCAAGTCTCTGTGTACCCCTTCTCTCAACAAAAACCAATCTGTCTTTCTCAAAATTGTTTCTCCTGGCAAAAATTTTTTGCTGTCTGGCCAACTTTTATGTTAAAAATAAAGTACAGTATTACAACATCAATCAACATTTAAAGTACTTAATGCTTTGTGAAAGAAAATATACAAAGATGCTTTTTGAAATAAGAAGCTAATCAAAGATTTATTTATATTATCAAATCAAGAGAAAATATAATCGCATTTGCGTTTGGAGATATAAGCTGTATTAAGCACTTAGGTAATGTAAGAAAACAAACTGTTAAGAAGAGCTATAAAAGGCAAGAATAATTTAAAGAAATAACAGAACCAACTCTCTGTTTCCCTTCCTGTCTGTGTCACACTGGCTCCTTGTGCCTTTTCAAATACCAATTGCACAAGCCTAATTAAGGAGCGTTTTCTCTGTGACTAATACTCCCTAAAATGAGCCCAAAATTCCAACATATTAATGATGAATAGTAATGACAACACTTTATATGAACAGGAACCCAGGTCCCCTGTCCTACCAGAGACAACGAAAAACAACTGAAAAAACTCTATTCCTACAAGTTTACATGCCTGATCAAATACTAAGTAAGGCAAGAAGTCAGATTCTTCACCTGACCATGCTCTATCTACTGGGAATGACTCAGACAGATGTCTAAAAGAGGATGTGGCCTTACAGTCACAGTATCAGGGTACGAAGGCACTGAGTTGTCAAAGGCCAATGAGTAAAGCAGAACTCGTCTGTTCACCTCCACTAATCTAGCTCAATTCTAACACATGAATCCTTGGTGAATCCTTTAGGTGCTCAGTATTCTCTTTTGGTTTGCTTTGTGATTTCCAAATAATGCTGTACTTATACTGGCCTTCCATCTAACTAGATGATTTTCCCAGTATATATATCCTCTTGTTAAGGAAGCCATTTCAATAGTAAGGGCACAGCATAAGGGATACCACCTCATCTCCAAGGGAGACCTTCAGAACCAAAGACAAGTCAGACTAGGTCAACTGTCCTTAAGAGAGCCTCAACATATAGTTTCTTGCCTCTTATTTCCAGGCCCTACACTAGATTTAAAGTTCTGAGGTCGACCAATCTTTAAGAAATAGACAACTTTCCGCAGTTATAGAGGACTTGGGTAGTTATAAGTCCCAGAATTAAGTTAGCCCAAGCTCTTGCCTGCTTGTTTCTTTAGTGTCCAAGTCAGTCACTGTTCCTGTTTTAACAGTACCTCTGCTGTTCAGCTTGCTTTCTGACTTCTGTTTTGTGGCAGGTGATATATTTTTCTTAATTTCTTAACCGTAGCCCTGTTACTACTGAGTCATCATAGACACCTAAAGCCAATGCATTTCTAGGCTCTGTTACCACCTTTCCTACCACCTTGAGTCATTACCAATTAAATATAGCCCTACATTAGCTCAAGTCCCTGGCTATCCCTAAGTGAAAGATTAAACTTAATGAGGACATGCTATCACTGTCAGCATGAGGCTCAACAAAGCACCAAGAATCACTTTATGATGTGAGGCCCAACTGACAATACAGGAGACTAAACTTTGGGGAACTGGGAGGGCTACAGGGTACTTTACAAGCACCAAACTCAAAATACAACAAATGCCTGAGTGTAAAGAACATCTACAATCACAAAAATCTAATTAGTTATACCCAGACATTCACTTCAAAAAAATTATTCTTCTAATTGAGAATGCCGCCCTCCTAACAGATCAGATGGCTTCAGATAGAGCCAATGGCTTCATGTATAACATGAACTGATGGGGGGAAGGAAATTATACAGCTGGATGGGTCAAATTAACCTTCCTGATCAACAGGACAAACCAACAAAACAGCATTGGCTCAGTATCCAGGAGAACTAACTGGACAGCCAGGGTTATCTTACTGACTGGTTTCATTAAGATCAGACCCAACTTAAAGCAAATCAGCCATAGGAAATGGAAATGGAAGTGACACACCAACACTAGCCTTACTCAGCTGAGCCAATGCAGGGCAGAAGACTACTTCTGACTCAACACATACTGTTCCGGAGAAAAAAGGAAAAGAAAAAAGCACCTACTTTGTTTTTTAAGTTCTTCAATCTGTTCTTCTTTTAGATCTAACTGTTCTGTAAGTCTTGATGCTGAATCCAATGCCACATTTGCTTCATCCAAACGCTCCTGAGGGATAAAAGTTTATTAAAAAGTAGTATGTGTACTGTCCTATTTACTATGGAACTAAGAGACATCAAGGATCAATCAAGAGCTCAGCTGCACCTATGTGACCACAGGCAAGTTCATACCTATAGACCTCACAGTGTTTCACAATGTGGCACTACCCTTTTTAGACAAACTACTAAAAAACTATATGACAAAAGTTTTTAACAACAATAAGATATAAAACTAAAAAGAAGCCAGGTATGATGGCGCACATCTTTAGTCCCAGCACTCTAGAGGCAGAGGCAGGATGATTTCTGTGAGTTCAAGGCCAACCTGGTCTACACAGTTGAGTTCTAGGCCAGCTGGGGCTACAGGGAGATCCTGTCTCAAAAAGACCAAAGGGAGGGGACACTAAAAAGATTTAAAAAGTCAAGAAACACGGTAACAAATCTTGTTCTTTTTAATTTTTCTAAGTCTACCATATATAGAGGGCTGTTTCATTATGACTTTATTACTTTAAATTTTACTTTCCTAATTATTTCTGTATTTGAGCACCTTTGTCTCATTTCCAGGACAGTTGGATTTACTCTTGTATGGAAACCTCTTTGCATACATTGCTTGTGTATTTCTACTGGACTGTCTCCCTTGTTGATTTGTGAGAGCTCCTTGTATGGTAGACAAGAACCTTTTGTTCTCTGTGCAACACAGTTTCCAAAATCACCCATCTGTCTACTAAGATACTGCCTTCAGCCAGTTAAACAGTTTTCAGTTATATACAAACGCCACCTACTTTGCTTTTATAGCTTCTTGAGCTATACTCAAGTCCCTGCCCCTTGTATATTTTGTTCTTTTTTTTGAGACAGAATCTCCCTGTAGCCCCAGCTGACCTGGAATTCACTATATATATATATATAGCCCAGGCTGGCCTTGAACTCACAGAGCTCCTCCTGCTTCTGCCTCCCTAGAGCTGGGATTAAAGGCATGTGCTACTACGCGCTGCTTTTTTTTTTTTTTTTTTTTTGACATTTTGTTCTTTGTATTTAAATCTTTAATACAGTATTTCTCAGAGGATATATTTTTGACAATTCCTAGCCCACTAAATGTCAGAAGATCCACCCTGTCACTATGATCATCAAAAATACCTGCCTCCACATGGTGATAAGAGTTAATGCAATTTGGGAGTTTTTTAGATAGACCCATTGAAGGGCACTCCAGTTGCCTCACCCTGTATCACCGTTCAGCATAGAAGAAGCCAGGGCGGTCTGCGTCCTGATTCCCTATTGGCAATTTGGGTAACCTCTTCAGAGGATGGTGTGATAAGAATAGGAGGTAGGAATTGGCTAGGCAGTTAGTGTAAAAAGACCCCAAAGAAAAGTAGCCAGTTTTTTGGCTAAAAGCCAAAATGTCCTTGGGCCTCTTAGCAACATACTCCTTTCCAAAGGCCAAAAAAGGGTTACCTCTTCAGAGGGGGTAATGTTAGAGTAGCCAAAAGCCCCATTAAAAATTAAACAAAGCTGAGCCTGGTAGCACGTGCCTTTAATCCCAGCACTGGGGAGGCAGAGGCAGGTGGATCTTTGTGAGTTCAAGGCCAGCCTGGTCTGCATAGTGAGTTCCAGGACAGCTGGGACTACAGGGAGACCCTGTCTAAAACACACACACACACACACTAAATAAAAATAAAAAATAAAATAAATAAATAAATAAAAGGAGTACATGAAGTTATCAGAAAAATATGATGGGGAGCTATGGGAGGAGTTGGAGGGGAGGGAGTGAGCGTGGATGTGACCAAAACACCTTATATGCATGTATGAAATTCTCAATAAATCATTTAAAAAAAAAATCCTGGAAGCCAGATGTGGTAGCACAGGCCTGTACTATCAGCACTGTGGAGGCTGAGGGATGGGGATTCTAACTGCCTGAGCACAGCAAAACTCCATTTCAAAACAAAACACTATTCTCGGAAATACCACTCCCAGCTAAGAACTGTTGCTTTAATATAATTGGAATTTATTTTTGTGCATGGTGTAAGACGGGGTCCAATTTTATTTTTTGACTGTTTGGGTAGTCTGCCAGTGTTTTAAAATTACTTTTTATTTTATTTTATTATTTTTGAGGCAGGGTCTCCCTGTAGTTCCTGCTGGCGGAACTTGCTATGTAGACCAGGCTGGCCTCCATCTAACAGAGATTCACCTGCCTCTGTCTATGACTGGGATTAAAGGTATGCACCACCATGCCCAGCACTTATTTTTGAAATGGGGTCTCACTCTGTAGCCTTGGCTGGCCTGGGGACTCGCTATGTATACTAGGCTGGCCTAGAACTCAAAGATCTGCCTGCCTCTGCCTCCTGAGTGCTGTGTGTACATCATCACTCCCAATCTTACCAATGCCATTTTTAGAAAACCATTTTTCCTCATTAAAGTAAATCTTGTTAAATTAAACTCAGCATTTCATTTTAAATTCTCAAATACATCCCAGGCCCCACTTCTGGATTCTTCGACTCCACCAACCTAGTCAATTTTGACATTTAGTAGGCTAGTCCCTCTTCACTACTTTTTCGTCTGTTTTCTGATTCTCTTGGTTTTCCTGAAGAATTTATCCATGTAAATCTCATGCCAAGTTTTCAATCTGAGTGAGAGCTTTTCTGATGTGTTAGATAGGTCACACTCCCCAGTTATTCAATCAAGTCCAATGTAGATGCCACTCTGGAGGTATTTTGCACATGTGCATCAAGGCAGGCATCTTAACCTGAATAATCTGGTGGTGCTGTTTTTTGAGACAGGGTTTCCCTGTAGCCTCAGCTGGCCTCGATCTCCTAGAGATCCGCCTGCCTCCTCCCAAAGAGTGGTGGGATTAAAGGCATGCAGGACCACACCCGGCCTCCAGTTGAAAGTCTGAAAGTTGTTAAAAGCAGAGATGGGACTTCCCACAAAAGGACAAAAATTCTTTAATGGATGCGTCCTGTCTGCTGTGACTTTCTGTCTGCGGACAAAAGCTCTGGCCATGCCTAAGAGTTCAGCCGGCCTTTGATGTGGTCTTACCATCTTGACTGCCAGCCCTTCAAACTTCAGGCTTGCTTAGCCAGCCTCCACAGTCATGTAGCCAATTCTCTGAAATCAATTATATGTGTATCCACATCTTATACATATGAATTTATGTACACACGCTCCTTATTGATTTTGCTTTCTAGAGGTTAAATACTGACAGAGGGGTTGAAACAAGAAATTTTAAATAAAAATTTATTATTCCTGCCAGGCGTGGTGGCGCACCCCTTTAGTCCCAGCACTCGGGAGGCAGAGGCAGGTGGATCTTTGTGAGTTCAAAGCCAGCCTGGTCTACATAGTGAGTTTACTGAGTTCCAGGACTTCGTCCTCTTTTTTTTTTTTTTTTTTTAAAAAAAAAAAAAAAAAAAAAAAAAAAAAAAAAAATTATTATTCCAGATTCATAAAAGAAAATTTGGTATAGAGGAAATTTAAATGATTTTTAATCTAAAAATTAAAATGAATCCCACAGCCTTATAAGGTTTATACTTATGAAATGGGTTTTGACGTTGTTATTTTATGTTTTTCGCTGTGTGAGATGGAAACCAGGGTCTTGCACATGTTAGACAAATCCTCTACCACTGAGCTACCTACCTCCCAGCTACTTAGAAAGTCATTAAAGAGCAAAGTCTCTTTGAACATCAGCACTTGTATTTTGTTTGGACTTTACTTGTCCAGCTTTATCTTTATTAATCTTCTCTTAGTTTCTTCTGGCTTATTTTGTTCTTTTTAAAAATGGCCTTTATTCAGGTGTGATGACATACAACTTTAATCCCAGCATTCAGGAGGCAGAGGCAGGTGGATCTCTGTGAGTTCAAGGCCAGCCTGGTCTACATCGTGAGTTCCACAACAGCTGGGGCTACAGAGAGACCCTGTCTCAAAAACACCAAAAACAAAAAAAAAGCCTTTAATCCCAGCACTTGGGAGGCAGAGGCAAGCGGATCTCTGTGAGTTCAAGGCCAGCCTGGTTCATATAGTGAGTTCCAGGCCAGCTGGGACTACAGAGGGACCCTTGTCTCAAAAAGAACCCCCCACCCCAAAAAATGGGTAGATCTTAAATTAAAAAGAGAATTAGTTTTTAAAAGATCTGGACTTCCGGACTGGAGAGGCGGCTCAGAGGTTAAGAGCACTGGCTGCTCTTGTAGAGGACCCAGGTTTGAATCCCAGCACCCACACGGCAGCTAACAACTGTCCATAACTCCAGTCCCAGGGGATTCGACAGCCTCTTCTAACCTCCACGGGCATTACAGGACATGGGTGCACTTACCTACATGCAGGCAATACACACATACATATAAAATAAAAATAATAAATATAATTTTTTTTAAAGTTAAAAAGAAAAAAGATTTGCGCTTCCACTCTAAAAGTTTGATAGAGCTGTAGAAAACAGCTCAGCAGCAGTTAAGAGCACTGGCTGCTTATGCAGAGGACCTGTGTTCAGCTACCAGCACCCATTTAGCAGCTAACAACCATCTATAACTATAGTTCCAGGGGCTCTGACACCCTTTTCTGGCCTCCGCAGACTCCTGCATATACATGGTGCACTTATAGACATACAAGCACACACATATACACAAAAAAATAAAAATAAAAAATATTTAAAACTACAGGAAGATAGTCCTTCTACTGTCTCCCCAACCATACAAACTGCAGGAAGAAGCAGGAACTGACTATTCAGAGTTGGAGTCCAGCCTAGGCTACAAAGGAAGACCCGGTTTCAGAAAACAAAAAGCAAAGAAACCCAAACCCCCTGAAATTACTAAAATTAGTAATGACAGTGGGAATTTTAGAAAAGATCAAATGAGATAATATACATTATTTGAATATGTAAGAACTACAATACCCAACACACTTTTGTTTAAAAAGGAAAACTAAAGTTAATATTGTAGGTTAAATTTTCTTTTCTCAGAGATCTGAATTTCAGATTCCCAGGTATACTACAAAATTTCAATAGCCTTTCATCTCATATTTACTACGCCCAATCCAAGTCACCCAAGAGACATTTTGAAGGTGACTGTTCACTGTGATGCCTCAGAAGGCTGTACATGAAGCCACACAAACAACGCTGACTGAATAGATGGTTAAAGAGCATTTCCAAGACAGGCTTTAAAAGTAATTATATCATGTCTCATAAAATTTATAGAACAGCCAGGCGTGGTGGCACATACCACTGATCCCAGCACTCTCTGGGAGCATGAGGCCAGCCCACTCTACAGGGCAAGTTCCAGGCTAGCTGGGGCTACAGGGACACCGTGTAAAACATAAAAAATAAATAAATAAATAAATAAATAAATAAATAAATAATTAGAGGAGAAAACTGTTTGGCCTACCTGCAATGACAACACTTTTCCTTCCAGATTCTCTGCCTTTTTCTTCCATTCAGCTATAAGCTGTTTTTGCTTTTCTAATTCAGCAGAATACATAGCTTTTTCCTCTAAGGACAAAGGAAAGTCATATTAATACTTTGAAACTATGTACAGATCTAGAATTTTTGCATCACTTTAACTTTTAATAATTAAAAACAAATAACTAAAACAGCTAAAAAAAAAAAAAAAACCCAGTGGCTTAGTGGTCATGTTAAGTGGAACTGACACAGGGCCACTGTCCCCCTTCTAAGCTCTTTCTTCTCCACCCATCTGTCTTGCAGATTCCCCTTTTTCCTAACTCCATTCAAACACTGCTTCTTCAGTGGCGCTCTCTCTACACCACACTGAGACGTGCTCACACTCTCTAGCAATTGTAAAGTAGATGCAGGGAATTCTTATATCTAAATTCAAGATTTCAACCGTACGAGCAGTCCCAAAGGGGCACACAACACAAATTTAAATATTTGCTTAGACACAAAACTACCCCTTATCCCCCTATTCAACTATCAGTTAATTCAACAATAATTACTGGATGTATGTATCAATATACTGGTGAACAAAAGCAGGTAAATCTAATGATGGGAGGGAGAATTTGAAAAGGCATACTTGGTTCTTAGAGTAAAAATGCTCTAGTCACTGTTAGTCTCCAAAACAGTATTTTCCACTAGGACTAGAAAATGTAGCTACCTCAAAGTACAAATCAGAAGCTAAGAACAAGTTATAGTTTCCAAGAACAGTAATAACGATGGCTAATACTCTGAAAGGTGTCTACCCCTAACTGGTATCTTAAGACCTAACCATTCTACATGTGTCTCTTCATCTCTGTATGTCCTTTTTTGAAAAAAAAAAAAAATTAAAAAAATATTAAGTGTGTGAGTATATACCCATGCCACAACACACACATAGACGTCAGAGGACAACTTGCAAGAATAAATTCTTTCCTTGCACCATGTGGGTTCTGAGGACAACTCAGGTTGTCATGTCTGGCAGCAAGTGCCTTTATCTGCTAAGCCCTCTCTCTGGCCCTGCATGCCCTTCTTTAACACGTGATTGCCTTTCATTTACTCTTCTAATTCTCTACTTTCATCTTAATTAGTAATGATTAGACATATAAATATATGTAAATATACACGCATACACATTAAAATAATAAAATTTTTAAAAATTACTAAAAATTTTCTATTCTCTAGTTTTAATCATAAAAGGAATGTGAATTAACTTAGTGGTGCTACTTACCTTTCTCCTAAATAAGCTAGAAACTGTTCTTGGATTTCCTGCGTCTACCTTCACATAAGGCAAAATTACCAATAACAATAATTTTTCTTCACTGAGAGATCATCAGTAAGTAACTTACCTTGTTGGAAGTGTTCTAGAACCATCTGTAGGTTGGCTAATGACAGAGCATACTGTTTTACTTGTTCCTGAGATACAGAAAGCTGGAGTGCAGTTTCATCCCTCTGCTTGGAGACCATGTTCAACTGTTCTTGCAAAGATTCCACTTGCACATTGGCTTGATGACTGCAAATAAAAGAATAAAGGTAAACTGCTCCGTCTATTTACATAATTTAACAAAAATTGCTTTCCCTACGTATTTATACATTAAATTCAAGTTAGATTTCAAAATATTCCCTTCATTTTCTTTTTAATTGTGGCAAAACCTAACATTTACCAGTTACCCATTATCAGGTACATCGTTTGGAGGCATTAAATACATTGATATTGTTGTGCAAACTATCACCATCCATCCCCAGAGCTTTCTCCATATTCTTGCAAACTGAAATGCCACACCTAGTCTGTGAGTGCCCCTCCTTCCTGTGGCAGCACCTTCCTTCTCTGAATTTGACCTTCCCTACATTTACTGCATTAAATTTGAGTTAACTTATGAAAAAACCAAAGATTTCTCAAGACTAGGAATTAGACTAAGTAAGAAACTATGGCATAAGAAAAGTTTACAAGATGCCTACAATTTTCAAATTTCCAGGTTAAAATACTATGAGAAAATTTTAAGCTGTATATAAGAACTTTCAAAGTCATTTCATCAGTTTCTAGCCTAACAAAGTATGGAGTCGATGACACCTTTTGCATCTCACAGATGCATTCATGGTGAGCTCATAACCTTCCAAAGGCTATCCCATTGACAAGCTATTCTGCTTAGTTATCTTTTACTATTAACTCTCTTCTACCTACATTACAAACAATAAGCCCTATCACTTTCCCAAATAAGCCAGAGATCCCTACAAGATGTATTTATATAGCAACTGTAGTATTTATTTGTGGTTTTTCTCATTGTTGTGACCAAATACACAACAAACAGTAATTTAGGACAGCAAAAGTGTATTCCGGATCATAGTTTGAGGGTATAGCCCATCATGGCAGAGAAGTCACAGTGGCACAAGTTTGAGGAGGCTGCTGGTCACACGTGCCCACAGCCAAGAAGCAGAAAGCAATACATACTGGTGCTCAGCTTGCCTTCTCCTTTATATTCAGTCCAGGACCCCAGACTATAGAATGGTGCTGCCCACAATGAAGATGGGGCTTCCCATCTCAATAACCTAATCTAGATAATTTCATAGGCGTGCCTAGAGGTTTGTCTCTTAGAAGATTATAGATCCTGTCAAGTTGACAGTATTAGCATCACGACATCTATCCAGGCTTCTATCACTGGAGTGTGTCCGTATTATATAATGATTATATATTCAGAATACCACAATGGTCTTCATGGGTATTTAAAATCCATTTAACCTCTTAGTCAAGAACAACTATTAAAGTCCCATTAAGAGCAACTCATGGAGCTGGAGAGATGGTTCAGCAGTTAAGAGCACTGGCAGCTGCTGCAGAGGACCCAGGTTTGAATTCCTGCACCTACGTGGTGGCTAACCACCTTCCTTAATCCAGTTCCAGGTGATCTGACACCCTCTTCTGACCTCCTCAAGCATTGCATGACATGGGCGCACTTACACACATGCAGGCAATACACTTGCACACACAAAATAAAAATGATCAATAAAAAAAAAATATATATATATATATATGTATATATAAAAGAGCAACTCACTGGAGGCTATTTACCCAATGGCACCCTCTTGTGGAAAGAGGCATAAACTAAGACTGAAACTGTCCCCAAATATCCCTGAATTTTATTCATTCAACTTAATGGTTTAGCAAATCAGAGCACGACTGGAGAATAAATCAAACATAAAAACACTCAGAAAGTTAGGAAATACCCAGTGTTACTTTTTTAAGGGATCAAAACTCCATAACGTGGTTTATAGATTTGACTTACTCATACAGCAAATCATTACTGCCTACTGATTTATGTGTGACATGTGACAGAGTAACTCCTTCCTTTTTCTGCTCTCCTAAATATAACAACATATGCTGTGGGAAGGAGGTGAACACATATGACATTTGATGTGGAAAAGACAGGAGATGAGCATGTGTAACGTGCTGTGGGAAGGACAGGAGGTGAGCACGTGTAACACGAGCTATGGAAAGGCCAGGAGGTGAGCACGTGTGACACAAGCTATGGAAAGGACAGGAGATGAGCACGTGTGACACGAGCTATGGAAAGGACAGAAGGTGAGCACCACCATTTTTAGGCCCCAGTGAACTTATACTTTTTAGTGGGAGAGAGGATAGGACACAGCAATCAATAGCTGTATACTGGATGTAATATAAAATGCCCTAACAGAGACTCAAAGAACTATGCAAGTTCAAAAGAAAGTGTGAAGAAAACGGAATGTGAGGAATAGGTGGAATTGGCAGAAAAACTCTTAGGGATTAGGCCTACCCTTCAGGCAGAAGAACAGGAAAATAGAAGTAGAAACATGGTGGCTAAGAACTATCTGTAACTCTAGTTGCAGGGAATCTGACACCACTGCCTGACTTCCACGGGCTTTTCACGTCACAGGTGCACTTAAACACATGCACGCATACACTCATACACAAAAAAAGAAAATAATATTAAAAAAAAAATAAAGAAAAATACCGAGTATGACACAGAACAAGTTAACGTTAAAGTTAATGCCATAAAGAAAAAGGAAAGCTACCTTGCGTTCTCCATCGCACTGGAGGATGACTTTAGCTTTTCCTCCAACACTGTGACTTTCTTTTTCAGCTTAGTCTCTCTCTCTTCTATAGCCAAAATTTCCCGGGTATGAGACTCTTCTGATTCTAAAAGGTGGTTTCGCAATCTCTCTAGCTCCTGGTTTAACCGGGTTTCTTTGTCACGTAAGTGTTGAACCTGAGTAGAGGACATTTCTTAACTTTCCTTCTACACAATCCCCATCCCTACAAATCATTTAGTTCAAATCTATCCCCATTATTGAAATGTATTAATTACATACTAATACCTCACTCTGAAACATGTATTTATACCAGGAAAAATTCTCCCAAAATTGTTTTGAATAGCCATCTGGACACTTTAAGGTATCATTTGCTGCGACTACAGTGGAAATAGACTCAGGGAAGCTTGGGCTCTTTATGGACTACCTTTTTAGTAAATCTCACTTTTTTCATACTTCATGGGTGAGATACTTTTCTTTTTTGAGGGGGTGTGTCTTTTTGAGACAGGGTCTCCCTGTAGCCCCAGCTGGCCTAGAACTCACAGAGATCTGCCTGCCTCTGCCGCCCAAGTGCTGGGAATAAAGGCATGTACCACATCTGCCTGAGACACTTTTCTTACACCCAAGTTGTGCCATAGTTTTCCCTTTCCAAATCTAAAACGCACAGAAGACTAAAATCCTACTACTGCATATCAGAAGACGACTAAAGACCAGTGAGTACTCCCTTTAGGTTACTCATAGTCACCAGACTTATTGGTTGTGTCAATGTCCCTTTAAAATGAAGCAAACCTCATTCTGTAGAGCACCAGTTTCCATCTGCTTCTGTTTCAAGGCCAACATAACTTGGTCTCTCTCCTGTTGAAATGTAACTGTCTTCTCCTGCATTGATTTAACTGTATTTAAAAGTTGATTTAACTCCCCAGCTTTGCCCTTTTGGAAAGAAAGAATTTTAGCTTTAAAGAAGAATACATTTTAAAAAAGACGTTTTCTTCATTAAATAATTTTAAAATACAGCTAACTATAACAAAATCAACAAAAACAAACACTTTCCGAGACACCATCAATCTAAGAAGCTAAGGAAACAATAATATTTAATATAATTTGCATTCCCCACAATGTCCTGGAGCAGAAAAAGTATGTTTAGTAAATATAAAGAATTCTAATAGGGCTGGAGAGATGGCTCAGAGGTCAAGAGCACTGGTTGTTCTTATAGAAGATCCAGGTTCGAATCCCAGCACCACCATGGCAGCTAACAATGGTTTGTAACTCCAGTACCAGGGGATCTGACACCTCTTCTGTCCTCTGAGGGCACTGCATGACACAGGCGCACTTATACACACATAGGTCTAACATTCATACACATAAATTAAAAAAAAATTTTTTTTTAATTTTAATCAAGAATGAACTTTATAGTAATACCTTGATATTGGCTCATTAACTGTGACAATTATACCATAGTAATGTGAATGAAATGTTAACATAAGAGAAATTGGGTGAGATAGATGAGAACTCTCCACAATCTACAACTTTCCTATAACGCAAAGCTATTCTAAAAGAAACCTTCATTAGAAATGTTTTAAAGGGGTTGAGGATACAGTTCTGTGGCAGAACGATTGCCTAGCATGTACAATCTCTAGTACTGAGTGGAAAAAAAGAAAGAAACACAAGAAGAATTTAAAAACTCTTCAAATGTACTCTATGTAACAGCTCTCAAAAACCTCAAGTCACCAAGGAAATGTGTTGGCTCCAGTGGTGTGGGCAGTGTGTGCCCATTCATTAGGCACCCGCAATTGTTAAAGTGAGGGTATCAAGTGGCTGTCAAAGATATAAAAGGAAGTTACTTCCTATACACAGGCCATTTTAAAAGAACATTTTGGCAACAACTTAGCACAAGCAGCTCTGGAATGATGTCTTGCTAGACAGCAATGACAATGTGTTCCTGGATGCATTTCATTCAAGCACAACCCAGTAAAAAGCAGGAAGATGATCCTTCACTACAAAAGCGGGGCCAAGAATTCTAGTGGGCCATTTACAATTCTTTTCTGTTTGAAATATGCATATCAAGTGAATTGTAGTTTAATATTATTCTAAGTTTTCACCCAAACTTTCCATCTCTTTAAATATACAAGCCCTGTGAGGTGACACACAGCTATCCTCCTAACTACTTGGAAGCTGAGGCAGGATTGCTGGGGTCCAGTTAGGGACTAGCCTGGGCAACAGATCAAGATCATTTTTCTGTTTTAAAGGACAGAAAAATAAAATACTGGAAAAATTCTCCAGGATAAATAATTGAAAACAAAACAAAAAACAGATGGTGTTTTTCTCTCAATCTCCACTCTTGGATAAGGAGGCCAATATTTTCCAAGTAGTTTAACAGTTAATTGTTTTTCTGTACACTCCAATAAAAGAGCAAATGCTTGAGAAATTATATAGATTTGAAAACTTGCCAAGACTATATCCTTTTCCCTCAAAAGATGTTATCTACAGTATTTAAAGTATAGATTGGATATTCCTTAACTAAACTACTTAGGATCAGAATTGCTTTTCAATTTTAGGCTTCTTGGATTCTGGCAAATTTTACTGGTTTAGCATCACTAATCCAAAATCCAAAACCCACAAGGACAGTGCTCAGAAAGTTTTGGATTTTGGAGCATTTCAGAGTGTGGACTAGAGCTGCTCAAACTCTATGGCCTATGCACAGGTACTCTTAAATATATAAAGAAAATTAGAAGAAATTTAGTTTATACTAATTACAGTCAAGTAACATAATAATTAGGGGAAGGCTTCCTAAAAGGCAGATCTTCAATAAAATCTACATAATTTAGATCTGTGTTCATGCAAAAGAATGAAATGGTACCAAATGCCGAAACTGCATAAGAAAACACATACAAGAGACTTCACTGTTCTACATTCCTTGGTTATACTCTTAGAACCATAAGACACTGCATCCACTGTTGGGTCAGAAAACAAGGGGGAGGTCCATGCTTCTTTCAAACCAGTTACAGACCAGTACAGACAGGTAGCATTAGAGCTAACATCCCTGAAGGATTGAAACCATAACAGTCTTCCTCTCTCCCTTCTCCCCTCCCTCCTTCCCTTTCTTCCTTCCTTCCTCCCTCCCTTCCTTCCTTTTAAGATAGGGTCTCAAGTCATAATTGTTTCAGCTGTCAACTTGACATACCTGGGAAGAGGGACCCTCAACTGAGGAATTCCCTCCACTGGACTGGCCTGTGAATTTGTCTATAGAGTATTTTTTTTTAATATTTTATTTTTATTTTATGTGTATGCATGTATTCCCCGCATGTAAGTGCACCCATACTGTGCAATGCCCGCAGAGGACAGAAGAGGCTGTCGGATCCCCTGGAACTGGAGTTATGGACAGTTGTTAGCTGCCATGTCTTCTGCAGGAACAACCAGTGTTCTTAACTGCTGAGCCATCTCTCCAGCCCCTAGAGTATTTTCTTAACTGCTAATTATATTATTATATAGGAGGATCCAACCACTGTGGATAGTGCCACCCCTAAGCAAGGTGAACCTGGCTTGATGGCAGACCTGTAATAGAAAATAAAACCTTTCCTCCCTCAAGCTGCTTCTGGTCATGGTGTTTTATCACAGCAACAGGAAACCGAACTAGAATACATGTTACCTAGCTGGCTTCAAACTAAGTGGTCAAGGCTGGCCTTGAACTCCTAAATCATCTTGCTTTCACCTCATTAAGTGATGGGATTACCAGCATGCATTCACCACACCTGGCCAGACAGTGTAACTTTTGTTTGTTTTGAGATGGGTCTAAGTAGGCCTGACTAACCTGGAACTTACTATGTAGATTAGGCTGGCCTCATACCAAAAGAGATCTACCCATTTCTCCTCCTGAGTGCTGGTATGAAAGGTGTGCATCACCACACCTAATTTCAGTGTACCTTTTAAATAGAATAATCCAAGACTTTTAGAAAAATTATTTATTTTTATTTTACATGTGTGAGTGTTTTGCCTGCATGTATGTAGGTGCACTGTGTCATGCAATGCCTGTGGAGGCCAGAAGAAAGCATTGGATCCCCTGAAACTCGAGTTAAGACCACTGTTGCCACATGGTGGTTATTGGGAACTGAACCCAGGTCTTCTGGAAGAGCAGCCAGTGCTCTTAACTGCTGAGCCATCTCTCCAGCTCCAACCCCAGACTCTAGTGGGAGAACTTAACTGGCAAAAAAAGTCAAGTCATTTTGTATCCAGTGCCTGGCAGCATATAATGTTCAAGAAGCAGTTGCTGGGCTAGGGATATAAGTCAGTGATGGAGTACTCCCCTAGCATGCATGAGGCCCTGTGTTCAATCCTCAGCACTGCCAAAATAAAAAACAGTTGAACTTCCCACCGTTCTCCCTATCATATCCTTTTCAAATCTCTACTACCAAAGTACAGAAATCACACTTAAAAAGGACTACCAAATAAGCCCTACAGTACTTATTATAGTATGATGTAATAAAACTTCAACAATTATTAAACTGAACATGTAAAATACCATAAAAGCAAAACTAAAGGAGCTTAAAATGAGCATGTAAGCCATTGAATATATCAAAAACTACTGAGCCTTCACATTTAACTGCTATTACACTTCATTTTATGGCTGAGTAACTAAGATAAGGTCAAAACGTACCCAAAGTTCTATCAGTGGCAAAGCTGAGATTAGGGTATTTATGGAGCCTACTGGGTTTAAGGTACTAGTTACTCATGCCTAACACTGTTCAAACTAGGGATTGATCCATCCAAGTCAAAACACTGTTCAAACTAGGGATTGATCCATCCAAGTCAATTTAGGGCCCTGCAGGTAAAGGCACATGCTGCCAAGCCTGATGACCTGAGTTTGATCAAGGAGCCCATCTGGTGGGATGAGAACTGACTTCCTTAAGGTATCTTCTGACCTCCACATGTGAGTAGGCAGACAAATTAATTAATTAATAATAAATAAAATAAGAAAAGAAAGTCAGTTTAGTGGATCATCCAGCATGTATGTATGTATAGCTGCAGTTTCTCTCATAGACATATAAATACATATACACACAAGTCACAATGTGCAAGTATTTCTTCCTACAGCTAATGATCAAAGATGTGCCTATTTCCAATTGCTCCCCCCTCATTTAAGAATCTCTACAATGTTAACAATTACTAGAAGCTACTGAAATATGCCTAAAATTTGATTAAAGTAAGTTCAAAAATTCCCTTTGGTGGGCTGTGGAAATGGCTTAGAAGTGGAGCGCTTGCCTAGCATATAAGGTCCTGGGATTGATTCTTAACATCTAAAAATCCCTCTGATAACTCCTTTCTATTATAAAGAAAAATACAAATTGCTATTGAAAATATTTGTTAATATATAATATCTAATAATCTGAGGAAGAAACTTCTAGATATCTATGAAGAAATTTTAGATGAACCAGAACATTTTGAAATGAATATTTCTAAATGAAAACATTCATACCTCCTCAAAGACAGTATCTAGCAATAAAGTAGCTAACACACTACAAAGGCTCCTTCACTCTTGGCACTTTCCCACAGACTCCTCCAGAAACATACCTGCTCTTTTTCTTTCAACAGTTGCTCAAAAGCAAGTGCCTTCTCTTTCATGGAATGGAATTCAAACTCTTTTTCTCGTAACATCATAGAAAACTTCATGTTGGTCTCTTGTAATGCCTGGTATTCTGTCTCCTTTCCCCTGGATATTTCTACTATTTTTTCATTTTCCCCCTTTAGTTTAGAAATGTCCATTTCTAAAATCAGTATTCTCTCCTTCAGATTTGTCACTGCCTGCCTCAAAAGCTCATTTTCATTCACTTTGTTAGTGAAATTTTCATTTGATGAATGTAACTGATCACTTTTGGCTTTGATTAAGAGGTCTTTTTCCTTAAGTAAGTTCTGTAAAACCTCTTGTTTCTCCTTTAGCTGCTTAATTTCTGAATCCGTTTGTTCATGTTTTTTTCTTTCTATCTCTGAGGAAGCAGCAATGGAATCCGACAACCTGTGATTATTTTCCTGGAGAGTTCTAATTGATGCATCTTTTTCCTGCAGTGATTTTCTTAGGTCATCTACCTCTTGCTGAAGCAATTGAGAAGCAACAGGATCCAGCTGTGACCCAGCGGACTCACTCACTCCAAGAGACTCTGCTGACCGAGAGGTAACTGACAAGCCAGAGGAGAGCTGGGGGGACATAATATCAAGTTTTCCTAGAAGAAGGTCCTTGGTATTGCAAAGCTGCCCTATGCTGTGCTGAACTTGTGCTAATTCCTGCCCAAAATTTTTGAGTTTGGTTTCATTCTGTTCGTAACTTTGGATCAGGCCAGTGTAGTCCACTTGTAATTTAGAGTTGTTATCACTGTCAACCAAAACTTGTGCCTGAAGTTGATGAAGCTCCTCCTGCAGCTGGGCTGACTCGTGCTGCATATTTTGGACCGTGGTCATCACCTGCTGTTTCCACTCTTCCATTTTCTTTACTTGCTGTTTTAATTTATCACGTTCCTGTAAAAGCTCCTCGAACTGGTTACTATTAACACCTCCAACCTCGCTACCCATGCCAGAAGTTTGTAGAACTGCCAGTAGAGTCTGACATTTCTGACTTAAGGCATCTATTTCAATGTCTCTTTCTCGGATGATGCGTGATAAATTCTGAATAGTTTCTCTAAACATATCTTGGCCACTGCTTTCAAATCTATTGAACAATGTTTTATTCTCATCTTGCAGCTTAATGAGGGCTGCTTCTTTGGCACTAATTATATCCATCACTTTGTGATACTCTGTTTTCAGACGGCTATTTTCCCTTGTTTTCTCATTCAAAATAACTATTAGTCTTTCTCTTTCCACAGCATAGTCATGCACTTGCTGTTGCAGATAAACAGTATCCTGAGTATATGAAGCTGAAGAAATCCTAGCGTGCAGAGCCTGTATCTCCAAGTCTTTCTGCTGGATAATCTGGGTGAGCTTACCAACCTCATCTTTGGACAGCTGATCAATTTGCTGAGTTAAAGATATATTCTTCTCATTTAGAAGTTTAATCTCCAGCTCTCGTTCTTTTATGCCTTTCACCAACCTTTCAGTTTCAGCTTTAGATAAATCATGCTTTTCACTTCCATTTTCTATACTAAGGCTCTGAACTTTTGTTTCTTGAAAAATATTAGAATTCTCTGTCTGAATGTCCTGTCTTTCTTTGTGCAACTGGGCCTTTATTTGTTCAATTGTTCTTTGCAAGTTCTTAATCTCCTCATCTTTTTCTAAGAAGAGCCGAGTATGCGTGACACTCATCTGCTCGTGCTCATGTTTAAACTCATCCATTTCCTTTTTCTGCTCCTCTAAAGACTGAAGCAGCTGCATCTTACTCTGGTTTTGATCTTCAATGGTCTTTTGATGATGTTTAATTTCCTCTTCCAGATGATCTTTGATTATGTTCAACTGAGACACCTCACATTCTAGTTCCGTGACACTGTCCGGAGCTTTCGGCTCAGCTGCAAGTGCAGCTCGGCTCTGCTGTTCCCTGAGCCGTTCCAGCTCTTCCCGAAGGTGATTGTTCTCTTCTTTCATGGACCCAAGATTTCTGTCCTTTTCCTCTACAGTCTGCCGTAAAGTCTCATTTTTTCTAATTGCCTGAGCACATGTGTCTAATTCCTCCTGCAGCTCTGAACTTTTTTCTTTAAGTTTTTCGATACATATTTCTTTCTCATTTATGAGCTGTGTCAATTGTTTCTGCTCTTCTAAACTAGATGACAAATTTTCCTTTGTTTGTTTGTGATCAGAATCCATCTGCTCAATATTCTTTTTGAGTCCTGCTATTTCAAAGTCTTTTTCTTGATTGAGTTTAATTAAGTGCTCATGTTCCAGCTGTAAGGCAGAGGTATTCAAACTGCGTACACTGGACAGTTCCTCGATGGTTTTCTTATACTGCTTTGCTTCCTCCAATAGCCTCTTCTCAGTACGACATAGTTCGGCTTCTATCTGTCCTTTTTCCCTTTGCAGAGTCTCTACCATAGTGTTTTTCTCTAAAGAAATCTGATTGCTACCAGCAATGGATTCTTCTAACTGATGTCTTACTTCTTCACACACTACAACCAACTTTTCATTTTCCATTTTGAGATCAAAAGCAACTTGCTTTAAGTTTTCATTGACCTGTTCTAGTTCTGAAAGATTTTGCTTTAAGTTTCTAACTTCAGTTTCCCTTTCTTTAAGTAAGTCATCCTTCAAATTACTGCTAGGGTCTTGAGACTGAGTTAGCTCATTCCTGACTGCAGCCAACGCCTCTTCATTCTGTCTGATGAGCTCCTTCAGTTCAAGGTTCTCCTTCTGGATGGTGACATTATTTCTCTGTGACTTACTTAGCTGATCTACTAAATCTTCTACTTTATCTTCAAGCTTCTGCTTGGTAAAATGCAAATCACTTAGGACCAGTTCACTATGAGTTAACTTTTCTTTCTGCATGTCTAACTCTTTGGCAATGCTCTCTTTATCATCTTCCAGCTGATGGACTCTCTTTTTTTCATTATCTAGATCTTCTCTCAGTTTCCGGATAATGCTATCTCCTTCACTTTGTTGTTTTGATAGTTGATCTTTTATCAAAATCACGTGCTGAAAGAAAAATTAATTTGCATAGTAACTTTATAATGTTTTCTCATTTTAGTGCCTACAGAAAATTTCATAAGATACCACATATAGGGACTGGAGAGATGGCTCAGTGGTTAAGAACACTGGTTGTTCTTGCAGAAAACCCGGGTTCAAATCCCAGCACCCACATGGCAGCTAACAACTGTCTATAACTCCAGTCCCAGGGGATCCAACAGCCTCTTCTGACCCCACAGGCACTGCACAACACAGGTGCACTTACCTACATGCAAGCAATATATGCATACACATAAAATAAAAATAATAAATAAAATTTTTAAAAAATATATCATATATAAAAGAAGAAAATCCTGACATTTCTAATCTCTCCTAAAAACAACTTTCTACCATAATATGCCCCAAAAAATTATTTCAAAAAATATAAGAAATCTACTTTATCATTTTAGGGGCAAGAATGCAAAACCAAAAAGGGTAAATCATACATGTTACGTATTTTCAACTTTTAAATATTTAAATGTATGTAAGTGCACCTGTGTCATGCAATGCCAGCAGAGGACAGAAGGCATCAGATTCCCTGGAACTGGAGTTATAGATGGTTGTTAGCCACCATGTGGGTGTTGGGATTCGAACCCAGGTCCTCTGCAAGAGCAGCCAGTGCTCTTAACTGCTGAGTCATCTCTCCAGCTGCCAGGTTTTAAAATATTTTATTTAGGGGCTGAAGAGATGGCTCAGCGGTTAAGAGCACTGATTGCTATTGCAGAGGACCCAGGTTCGATTCCAAGCACCCACATGGAAGCTATGAACCGTCCTTATGTACAGTTCCAGGGGAACCCAAAGCTCTCTTCTGACCTCCGCAGCATTGCATGACACGGGTGCACTCACATACATGCAGGCAATGCATTCACATAAGAGAATCCAAAGCCTTCTTCTGACCTCCGTGGCATTGCACAACACAGGTGCACTCACATACATGCAGGCAATACACTCATATACATAAAATAAAAATATAAAATATTTTATTTATCCATTTATTCATTCATTCATTTCTTTAATTTATTATATGAGTGTATTGCCTACATATGTGTAAAATATTTTCAACTTTTAAACACCAGAGCAGGAGTCAACAAACCATAACCCATGGATCTGCTGCCTGTTTCTGTAAATGCAAGTTTACTGAAACACAGCCACGCTTGTTTGTTCACATATCATAACTCAGAGTTAAACAGCTGCAACTGAGGTACGTTCTGCAAAGACAAAAAATATCTTACTAAGTAGCATTTTAAAGAAAACATCTCTATGTCTTAAACCACAAAAGGTCAGCATCATTTTTGTATGTTAATCCAGTATTTAGTCTGTGGAGCAGACTGCACCTCAGCCTCATTACCTCCGTAGCGTCTTGGTTCTGTCTGTCCAGTTCTTCTAACTCAGCCATTAGCATTTCCTTTTCACTAATACTCTGATTTAGTTCTTGTTCCTTTGCTTCCAAGTTAAGTTTCAAGTCACGTACTTCAGAATCCAAATCCATATCTCTTGCAGCTGAACTTTTAATGACTTCATATTCATTGCTCAATTTGGAAAGTGACATCTGAAGTTCTTCCTTAAATGATAAGGGGAAGAGGGAAAATAGCACACAGTGTCCATTAGGAAGTGATAACGAAAGACTAAACATACGTATATATGAGTAAATAAAATTTGGGGACCTATTTGAAATCCTTGTATTGGAAATGTTATTAAACAATAAAGTTAGCAATAACATATAAAATTCAACAAACTACAGTCTTCATCCATGTACAACTTTACTTGCAGCTTCCAAGCAAAACATTTCTACAACCTTAGACAATATATGACAACGCTAAGCTTACTCTCTAGCTCTGCCTTCTTCACAGAAGACCTTTCCCTGTGGGATCCTTCTCTATTCCACTCCCATGGCTCCCACCCTCATCCTCACGCCCAACAGATAAGACTTTGTCAAAAAGCCCCATACCTCCCAACTCTTTACTTCCACTCCTAATGCCCAGCCACCAACAGACAAAATAAAAACTAAAAAACCAATACTCATTCAGTCTAAAGATTATTACCTCTAATCTAATTAGAAAATAAAAGGCTTCTTTTCCCCCAGTAAAGGAATGTACTTATAATTGAATTCAGTCAGAATATGAAACTTTCTCTTAACCTGCCTTCCTTTTTTGCCTGCTGAGCAAGTACAGACTAGCTTCTCTCTCAAACCTGACATCACTAAACACAGATCTAATCATGCATTGTATCTATTATATGTTATTTAGTGTTCCTGACAATCTCAGAAGACACTTTTTGATGCTTCAATATTATTCCTCATGATTATGCTTGTGATAAAGTATGTACCAGTGTAAAGCCTTCTTCCCCTAGTACTTTTTAAAAATCAAACGTCTATGGAATCTACTTTAAAATAAACAGGAATCTCAATTTCCTTTAAATAAAGAACCTAATAATACCTTATAAAATAGGCCAAGAAAGCTATCAGACTATCGAAGGAGGAAGAAGAGGAGGAGAGAGAGAGAGAGAAAACACAAGCACAGAAAATATCATTCTCTTAAATCTTTCTAAAGTTATCTATCCATTTAGGAAAACCACAGTACTTTTTTTTAGGTTGATCTGTAGAACACATATACTTTTGGTATTATATTTTATTATTATTTTAATTTTATGTTTATGAGTGTACTGCCTGCATGTGTGTAAGTGCACTGGTGTCATGTAATGCACATGGAGGTCAAAAGAGGACACCTGATCCCCTGGAACTGGACTTAATGATGGTTGTTAGCCACCATATGGGTGCTGGGAATCGAACCTGGGTCCTCTTCAAGAGCAGCCAATGCTCTTAACCACTGAGCCATCTCACCAGCCCCACTTTTGGTATTACTAACAGGCAAACAGACACAATTTTGGGAAAAGATACAATGGATACTAACCATCAAAAGAAAAGAGAAATAGTTATCAGAGACTTGAAAAGTATGAGAAACGTTTGCAGGCCCTCCCTACTAGATATGTGAAGAGAAGTTTACAAACTACAAAGTGCACTTAAGCCAGTTAGATAAAGAGCAGAATACACACACACACACACACACACACACAAAATGACTTGGGCTGGGAGTGCTGGCACTCCCCTTTACTCCAACACTCAGAAGTCCTGTCTCAAAAAGACAAAAAAAAACCAACCAAAAACCTAACAATTTAAATTGAATTGAAATACTGACCTTTCTTTTGTCTTTTTTTTTTTTTTTTTTTTTTTAAAACAGGGCCTCCCTGCAACCCCAGCTGGCCTGGACTCACTATGTAGATAGACTAGGCTGGCCTTGAACTCACAAGAGATCCACCTGCCTCTGCCTCCCGAGTTTTGGGATTAAAAGTATGCTGCACCACGCCGGGTGAAATACTGGCCTTTTAACTTAATACCAGCTTTCAGGTGTCCTCTAAGTACCTGCCATAGATAAGGAATTATTCCCAGAGATACAAACATAATACCTTTCCCTGTACCAAACACTGCATTACAGAACCCTATTCCATCTTTGTTACTAACATAAAAAAAAAAAAGGTTCCATTTCTACCAGAAAGTATCCCTCTTACAGCTCACCAATAAGAAACCCTTATCTAGCAGGATGGACACATTCTGGGGTACATAGCAGTATGTACACTTCAGAACCTTTAGACCCACCTGTGCTGCTGTCAGGACTCCATGAGAAACCAAAACAAACCTCTACCTATCTTTTCTGCTCATATCTCCGTGCCTACTGGCTTATCGCTGCACATAAACGCTGGCCAGCCTGGCATAGTCTGAAGCTTGCCCAGGTACTTCAATCTGGCCCGACGAGTACATCAGTGAGCTCAGACTTAGGCTGAGGACTCTAGCACTGAACATCTCCTTCTGATCTAAACTGGTCCTTAGCTGTGACACCTAACATATACACCATATTAACTGTACCTACCTTTTCTTGACTAAGTGATGACTTCTCTTTTTCTAAAACTTGGACACGCATTTGAAGTTTCTGATTGTCTTCAGCAAGATTGTTATCCTACAAAAATATTAAAGTAGTATTTTCAGATAACACAAAATTTCAAGTTTACAAAAAAGCATCTACTTATACAATTGTGAAATTTTACTCAGTATTTCTTTAGTAATATATAAAAAGATTAGAAGAATACAATGTTGGACAATTTAGAGCTAGTCACTCATTTTGGACATGCTTTAGAATTTTTAGTATATTTGACTTTTATGTGCGTGTGTGTGTGTGTGTGTATTTTTGTTTTTTTAAGATAGGGTCTGTGTTTGTGTATTTTTTTTTTTTTTTTGAGATAGGGTCTTCCTGTAGCCCCAGCTGCCTGGAACTCACTATGTCGACCAAGCTGGCCTTGATCTCACAGAGAGTTATAGGTCTCTGCCTCCCGAGTGCTGAAATTAAAGGTTGCGCCACCATGTCTGGTTCTTTTTCATACATGAAAAAATATAAGAATTTACAGCCAAATGTGTTGGTATATGACTTTAATCCCAGCACTCAGGAATAGAGGCAGGTAGAGCTCTGTAAGATCAAGGCCTGCCTGGTCAACACAGTGAATTCTAGGCCAGCTGGGAGACTCTGTCACCAAAAAAAAAAAAGTATTTACAAAATAAATTGTAATTAATACACTAGGGATGGTGAGATGAGTAGGTGGGTAAAGCTGCTTGCTATACAAGTCTGGCAATATGCATTTGATTCCAGAAATCCATGTAAAGGTGGAAGGAGGGAACCAACTCCACAAAGTTACTCTCTGACCTCCCTATGTGCACCAGCATACATGCATGCACACATACACAAAATAAAAAGAACAGCTCTGAGTTTTTTAAGAAAAATAAAAATGCATTCCTAGGGCTGGAGAGATGGCTCAGTGGTTAAGAACACTTGTTATTTTTCCAGAGGACTCGGATTCAATTCCAGCACACAGACACCAGCTAACAACAGTCCGTAACTCCCGTTCCATGGGATTTGGCACCCTCTTCTAGCCTCTATAGGCACTGCAAGCACGTGGTGCACTTACACAGGCAATACACTCATATATATAAATAAAAATATAAATAAAATATTAAAAAATAAAATACCTTATTTATTATGTTTATTTTTACTTATTTTTGGTCTTTTTGAGACAAGGTCTCCCTGTAGCACCAGCTGACCTTGAACTCACAGAGATCTGCCTGCCTCTGCCTCCTGAGTGCTGGGATTAAAGGCTTGCATCACCAAGCCCAGCTTGGTTTTTCTTTTTGAAGGGTCTCTAGACCAAGCTGGCCTGGCGCACCACCACACCCAGCTTTATTATGTTTATTTATTTTATAAAACTTTTTTTTTTTTGGTCTTTTTGAGACAGGGTCTCCCTGTAGCACCAACTGGCCCAGAACTCACTATGTAGATCAGGCTGGCCTTGAACTCACAAAGTTCCACCCGCCCCTGACTCCCAAATTCTGGGACTAAAGGCGTGCACTACAATGTCCAGCTTTTTTTTTTTTTAATATCTTATTTATTATTTTTATTTCATGTGTATGAGTGTATTGTCTGCATATATGTGAGGGCACCCATGTTGTGCAATGCTGTGGAGGTCAGAAGAGGGTGTCAGATTCCCCTGGAACTGGAGTTAAGGACAGTTCTTAGCATCCATGTGGATGCTGGGAATAGAACCTGGGTCCTCTGCAAGAGCAGTCAGTGCTCTTAACCGCTGAGCCATCTCTCCAGCCCTGATTTCTGTTTATTTTTAATAATAACCTGTGTCATGTCTGAGATAAAAACTGCCTTTTCCAAATTTACATTACTAGAGTATTTAAGAAAATTATTTTAGAAAGTCTTCTCATTTCATACCATTTTTTTCTTGTTTCACTGTGTGAAAAAAGGGGCATATTTCCCACAGATGGGAACTTCACCCACTCTTTCAAGATGTATGTACTTCATTGATGATGTTGCACATTACAGAATAGTCCAAAATTTCCTCATAGTTCTTAGAGTGTACAACTAATAAAACTACCTTAATCACATTTTATTTCTATACATTGTATTTAGGGTATGTTGTTAAATTAGGAAGTTTTTGAGTCTATGTGACATCTTATTTCCTCTAAAGGTTTGTTGTCTGATTTGATCTGTATGGTTTGCTTTTACTTTACCATGATTATGGGTTTTGTTTTGTTTGTTTTCTTTGTCTTTTTGAGACGGGGTCTCCTTGTAGTCCTAGCTGTCCTGGAACTCACTATGTAGACCAGGCTGGCCTCGAACTCACAAAGATCCGCCTGCCTCTGCCTCCCAAGTGCTGGCATTAAAGGTGTGCACCACCACACCCGGCTTTTTTTTTTGTTTTTTTTTTTTGTTTTTTTGAGAGGGGTTCTCCTTGTACTCCTAGCTTCCCTGGACCCCATTATGTAGCCCGGGCTGCCCTCAACCCCAAAAAGACCCCCCTGCCTCTGCCTCCCAAGTGCTGGCATTAAAGGTGTGCGCCACCACGCCCGGCACGATCTTTCTTTTTAAAGATACCAGAAGTAAACACAGCCTCCTTGCCTTTTGCCAATATAGTCAGTCCCTGTATTAACTGCACACTTGTGAGGCACCCTGCCATGGCCTAGACTTTGATTACAGACTCACAAAATTCAGGGTCTTAGGGTTGTATCTCAGTAGCATAGCACTTGGCTGGCATGTGTGAGGCCTGAGGTTCAATCCCTAGTACTACAAAAAAGGAAGGGTCACATAGGAAATGTAAGTAGAGAGTCAAGTAGAAGGATGAGGTATGTTCTGAGAGGGGAAAGATATAGAGCTAGGAGAGCATGCCTCATGGCCAGTATGATCACGGCTTTAAGTGGGTGAGCAAACAAACACCAGATGGCACCTTCTGTCAGTGTTTTCAGGGAGGAAACCCATTCTGTGGAGTTGGGCATGATGCTGTATACCTGTAATCCCAGCACTTGAGAGGCTGAGGTAGAGACATCTCTGTAAATTTAAAGCCAGTCTAGGCTACATGAGACCCAGTCTCAAAAAAAAAAACAAAAACAGGGCTAAGGATATGGCTAAGTTGAGGCCCTGCTTTCTATCATCAGCACCACAGAAATGATTGATAGATGATTGATAGATAGATAGATAGATAGATAGATGATAGATAGATAGATAGATAGATAGATAGATAGATAGATAGATAGATGATAG